GGCTCTGGTTAATTTAATATAATAAATAACAGTTTCAATTATAAGGATGAAATAAGTAACTACCTTGAAGTCAAAACACATTATGGACAACGAAGGAGTATTATGATTATCCCAAATTGACGAGGGTATTTAAACCTAGGTACACGCTCTTTCTTAACATTAATTTATAGAAAGTCATAACCTGTGTGTACATGAATATGAATATACATCTTATCCACCTTGACAAGTATGTTATTGCTGGGACAGGTATTTCTCTTTTTTTTTTTTTTCAAACAGAGTCTCTCTCTGTCCCCCAGATTGGAGTGCGGTGGTGCGATCTTGGGTCATTGCAGCCTCTGCCTGCCAGGTTCAAGCAATTCTCCTGCCCCGGCCTCCCAAGTAGTTGGGACTACAGGCACGTGCTGCCATGCCCAGCTAATTTTTTGTGTTTTAGTAGAGACGGGGTTTCACTGTGTTGCCAAGGCTGGTCTTGAACTCCTGAGTTCAGGCAATCTGCCTGCCTTGGCCTCCCGAAGTGCTGGAATTACAGGCATGAACCACTGCACCCGGCTCAGGTATCTTTTAATAACAAGTTACTTATATATAATTAGCCTAGAAAGGTCAAACTTCTCTTTTTATTTTCAGCTTTTGGTTTTTAATATACCTGGGGTTATTTATATAAACAAAAGCATGGTCACAGTAGTTCTGGGCTACATAAATTCTGAATTATGTCAAAGAAATCTGATTGTTTCTAGTATCTTTTGTAATATCCGAATGAGTTAGAAGGAAATGCCACGCTCTGAGTTCAAATTATGAGTCCTTTATACAGCCAGCGACAGAGAGTCAGCTAACTCTCTGCCCGTGGAAGGGGCTTGATTTCCCTTTATGCCTTGATTTAGGTAGGGGCAGGGGCAGCCTAGCTGAAGCGGAATTTTACAGAAGCAGAACAAGCAAGTTAGTAGGAGGAGACTGGTAACCAGGGAGCAGGAGGTTCCCAAGATTGTTGGTTGCTATGGGTATTTCCATACAATCACTAAGGGAGGTAGCAGGGGGAACTTTCCATACAATCAATCACAAAGGAAGGTATTCACCATAGCAGATACACTTGCCAAGCAGGATGTGGTTACAGTGGTTACAGGTGCTGTGAACAGTGTGAACCACTCTTAATGGTTCAAAGCTTTGAGTGCAGCATGACCCAGTAATGCACCTGAGGGGCTGCAGCAGGGAGGGAGAGGCTCTAGAGAGCTTGTCAGGTTTGCAGCTAAAATGGAGTCAGTTAGGCTAACCCAGCTTAGTTTATTACACTTTTGTAAGTGAAAGAGCAAATCTTTGTGCTTGCTCAGTGGCGCTTTAGGAAACCTGAAAGGCAGATTTTATGGAAAGATATAATCTGTTACAATCTGTTTCATTATTCTGAATTTGGAAAAGGCATAATCAAAAAGGATTGTCAGAGGAGCTTTTGACAAGAATAATAGTTATGACTAATTAATCAAAAAGTCCACATAACATTTAAAATAATCAGAAGGTAGCAAGATTTTAATTTTTATTTAAATGAAAATCGTTCAGATGTGTAGTATAAGGCAGCTAAAAGCATTTAGCTATTAGACTCTTAAAATTTGAAGTATACATAGAAGTGTGGCAAAATTATGCAGATTTATTTTCTGCACATGTTGAAGAAAAAGAGTAATACTTTCCTATCTGCATACAGAGTGGACAGTTTACTCCAAGATCATCATTTTCCTTTAGCTATCGATCTTTTCTATCATATCATACTTATGTTACTTTTTTCTTACATTATGATACGACAGCATTTCCCATATGCATTTAAACCTGCTAATATTGTCAACGTACCATGCTGAATGACACTATAATTTAAAGGTTTATTTTCAGTCTTATAATTAACAGTATTAATATGTTTATAAGATGATGTGTGCATTACATTGATTTTTGACAGTAGTTTGAGCTTAGTTGAGTGAAAATATGTTTAACATGGTCTAGAAATAAGTAAACTTAATTGAACAATAACTCAAGATATTTGTTTTTCCTATTTTATGAATATCTTCTTAGGAACTTTTTGTGTGACCAGAAATTATTTATTAGTAACTCTCAAGATCATTTTGTCTAAGTGAATTAGATATCTTATAATTTAAAGTGATCCTTAAATAGCAATATAATTACTGTTGATTTTTAAAACTGATAGACATTTAAAAATTTTAAATAAGGTAAATGTATAGATTCACATAATTGCAGCATTGTTTGAAGTTATAAAAATCAATCCTCTTATAAAAATTCTAAGTAAATGTACAATTTAAATTTAATTGAACATGTATTTTTATAATTGTGAACTTTATGAAAGCAATGTTTGCTTTCTCTCAGGGGTTGGAAAACTATGGCTCTGGAGACCATATCCACCTGTTTTTGTAAATAAAGTTGTATTGGTTAGCTGGGCATGGTGGCGCGTGCCTGTAATCCCAGCTACTCAGGAGGCTGAGGCAGGAGAATTGCCTGAACCCAGGAGGCAGAAGTTACGGTGAGCCGAGATCACGCCATTGCACTCCAGCCTGGGTGAAAAGAGCGAAACTCCATCTCAAAAAAAAAAAAAAAGTTGTATTGGAACATAGTCTTGCCCATTCGTTTATGTGTCTACATATCGCCCATGGCTGCTTTGATAAAATGGCAGAGTTGTGACCATAAGGCCCTTTACAGAAAAAGTTTGCTTTTCTGTAAAGAAACAGAAAACTCTAGCTTTTCTGATGAGTACAATGGGTATAGAAAACATAGGTGTTTCAGAATAATTTGACTTTCTGAAGTAAAGTACACCTAAGTTTTGCATAAAGTAGAATATTTTGTTAACATGGTTTTTACATTGTGATAAAATCAGGAAGAAGGGTCCAGGCACAGTGGCTCACACTTGTAATCCCAGCACTTTGGGAGGCTGAGGTGGGCAAATCATCTGAGCTTAGGAGTTTAAGACTAGCCTGGCCAACATGGTGAAACTCTGTTTCTAATAAGAATACAAAAGTTAGTCACGCATGGTGACATGTGCCTATAATCCCAGCTAGTCAGGAGACTGAGGCAGAGAATTGCTTGAACCTGGGAAGCAGAGATTACAGTGAGCTGAGGTCACACCACTGCACTCCAACCTGTGTGACAGAGCGAGATTCTGTCTCAAAAAACAATAATAATTATCTGGAGGAAGACATTATCATACTTGATTAATAACAGGATTTGTCTTCAGTAGATTATATTACTTGAATTCTTACTATATTTATATATCACATAAGCTTCTTAAGTTATTTTAAAAACATTGAAAATCCAGTGTCAGTGCTTGGCTTCTTGTTTTGTAATATAGTACACAGAGCCATTATTTTAACTGGGAGTTAAATTTCTTTTCCTTTGAGCTACAGCTTAACAAGCATTTGCAGATTTTCTTAAAGAGCCACAACATTTGAAGCAGTGAGAGTCTGAGTTTTCTCTCATGTTGAAAATTGTTAAATTCTGGTTTTTAAAATTTATGCAAGTACTTGTTCATCTTTAAAACTTATCAGCATAGACCTTACTTAGATTTTTAAAAATCTCATTTACTAATTCTTTCTGTTTTGGAACTCTTTAGGTTGTGAAAAGTTGTTAAAATTTAAAGTCTGTCAAATGGCCACTGTGGTTCTAAATTATCCATAATGGAAGACTGACACTTTCCTAGATAAGCCTAGGAATTAGAATATTAATAAGTATAAATATAAGAGGCCGAATTCCCTAAAGAGGAAATTGTTAATTGCTTCATGCTTACAGATCTTTTATTTCAAGCAAAGCATATAAACCAAACATGCAGACAACTTGGGCCACAAAAATAAAGAAATAAAGGAAAGAGAGGAAAAAAGGAAAGGAAGAAAGAGAGGAGGGGGTAGGAAAATAGAGAGAGAAAGAAAAAAAAGAGTAATGAACACTTTGCCAATTACGTAGTCAAGGTCATCTGGTAATTACTAGTTTGTGATCTTGCTGTGGAGTAAGGCATGGCTCAAACCATGAGTTACCTGTAGAATCCATTACAAAAAAAGGCCAGGCTCAGTGGCTCATGCTTGTAATCCTTTCACTTTCAGGAGGCCAAGGTGGGCAGATCACTTGAGCTCAGGAGTTTTAAGACCAATCTGGGCACATGGTCAAACCCTGTGTCTAAAAAAATATAAAAGCTAGCCAGGCGTGATAGTGGGTGCCTGTAGTCTCAGCTACTTGGGAGGCTGGAGGATCACCTGAGCCTCAGAGATCGAGGCTGCAGTGAGCCATGATTTTGCCACTGCACTCTAGCCTGGGTGACAGAATGAGAACCTTTCCCCAAAAAACAACAAAATAAAACAAAACAAATTTATTACAAAAACAAGATAGACAAACCACCGCCAGTGACTTGGACAAGTATAAAGTACAGAAAGTGATGCAAGGATTTCCTGATAAATCAGCTATATGGGGCTATATAGAGTGTACATAAGTCAATTAGAAAGTGGAGATTATTTCTTATCTCCCAATAAATCACATAGAGATAACCAAACAGATAACATATCAGAGTTGGAAGTTCACAAACAAATGCTGGAGTTACATTCAAGTCTTCCAGTAGAATTTTGGCTAGAGGTAAAGAAAAGCCACATGTTACAGAAAATCTAGAAAGGTGAGGTTAGACAAAACAAAATCAGCCAAAGCTCATTATGCTAAGAATCTGCTTCCCATTAAGATACATACCTAGCAGGGGACATTGGATGACCACAACTGGGCATATAAGGTCTTGATTGATGGAAGCTGACATTTGGTTTGAGGGGACATCAGCATGGGAAAATGAGGGACTTGTTGAAGTGATCTCTGTGGAATCCTCCAGAAAAGTATAAAATCAGAACATCAGGATCACAGAGCTGTAAAATCAATGCTCAGGAGTAAGTTCAGTAAGTCTCCTAATTTGTCTTTTATTTCTGCTGTAGTTTTTTTTCTTTTTTCCTAGTGAAGGAAATAAAATGTGTGGTTTTCTTGTTTTCTTTCAGATTTGGAGTCAACAACATATGACGCCAAAAAAATATTTTCAGAAAAGGATATTTTTGAAATAAATTTTTCTCAATGGGAGATGAAGGAAAAAAGTAAAATCCCTGGCCGTGAGGCATCCATTTTCAGGAATAATTGGAAGTGCAAAAGCATATTTGAGGGACTAAAAGGACATCAAGAGGGATACTTCAGTCAAATGGTAATGAGCTATGAAAAATTACTCTCTTACAGAAAACGTGAATCTCTTATGCCACATCAAATAATTCGTAATACAGAGAAGCCCTATGTTTGTAAGGAATGTGGGAAGGCTTGCAGTCATGGCTCAAAACTTGTTCAACATGAGAGAACTCATACAGCTGAAAGACACTTTGAATGTAAAGAATGTGGGAAGAACTATTTAAGTGCCTATCAACTCAATGTGCATCAGAGATTTCATACTGGCGAGAAACCCTATGAGTGTAAGGAATGTGGGAAGACCTTTAGTTGGGGATCAAGCCTTGTTAAACATGAGAGAATCCATACTGGTGAGAAACCGTATGAATGTAAAGAATGTGGGAAGGCCTTTAGTCGTGGCTATCACCTTACTCAACATCAGAAAATTCACATTGGTGTGAAATCTTACAAATGTAAGGAATGTGGGAAGGCCTTTTTTTGGGGCTCAAGCCTTGCTAAACATGAGATAATTCATACAGGCGAGAAACCTTATAAATGTAAAGAATGTGGGAAAGCCTTCAGTCGTGGCTATCAACTTACTCAGCATCAGAAAATCCATACTGGTAAGAAACCTTATGAATGTAAAATATGTGGAAAGGCTTTTTGTTGGGGCTATCAACTTACTCGACATCAGATATTTCATACTGGTGAGAAACCCTATGAATGTAAGGAATGCGGGAAGGCCTTTAATTGCGGATCAAGTCTTATTCAACATGAAAGAATTCATACTGGTGAGAAACCTTATGAATGTAAAGAATGTGGAAAGGCCTTTAGTCGTGGCTATCACCTTTCTCAACATCAGAAAATCCATACTGGAGAGAAACCTTTTGAATGTAAGGAATGTGGGAAGGCCTTTAGTTGGGGTTCAAGTCTTGTTAAACATGAGAGAGTTCATACTGGTGAGAAATCCCATGAATGTAAAGAATGTGGAAAGACCTTTTGTAGTGGGTATCAACTTACTCGACATCAGGTGTTTCATACTGGTGAGAAACCCTATGAATGTAAGGAATGCGGGAAGGCTTTTAATTGTGGATCAAGCCTTGTTCAACATGAGAGAATCCATACAGGGGAGAAACCTTATGAATGTAAAGAGTGTGGGAAGGCTTTTAGTCGTGGCTATCACCTTACTCAGCATCAAAAAATTCATACCGGTGAGAAACCTTTTAAATGTAAGGAATGCGGGAAGGCCTTCAGTTGGGGTTCAAGCCTAGTTAAGCATGAGAGAGTCCATACTAACAAGAAGTCTTATGAATGTAAAGACTGTGGGAAGGCCTTTGGTAGTGGCTATCAACTTAGTGTTCATCAGAGATTTCATACTGGTGAGAAACTTTATCAATGTAAGGAATACAAGAAGACCTTTACTCATGGCTCAAAACTTGTTCATAAGAGAACTCATAGTAATGATAAACCCTACAAATATAAAGAATGTGGGGAAGCCTTTCTGTGGACAACTTACTCAAATGAGAAAATTGATACCGATGAAACCTTATGATTGAAAGCTATAAAAGAACATTTTGTGTGTGTGTACAAACAACATAAGGAGAACTCTTACTCTTGAGAAACCCTGTGAATGTAAGGGGTGTGCAAAAGCCATTCATTTCTGTCTATGGACAATTATCTTGCTATCCAGAAATTCATACTAGTGAGAAATATTTTCAATATAAGTAATATGAAAAGGCTTTAGATTTCTGTACAGTCTTACTTGGTATCAATTTATTCTGATGTAAAATCATTTAAATGTAAGGAATGTGTGAAGATCTTTATTCAAGATTAACACCAGGAAATTGGTATTTGTTAAACAGTTTAAATGGAAGGAATGTGGGAAGGACCTAAACTTAATTCAGTTCCTGCTGCACATCAGAGAATTCATACTGCTTTGTAATCCTATGCCCGTAAGGAATTTGAGAAGGCTTATAGACATGGTAAATATCTTAGAGCACATCAGAGAATTCATCCAAATGAGAAATCATTTGAATTCGAATTATAGGAAGGCCTTTAAACAAATGCGACTCAAATCCAGAAACTGGTGCCAGTCACAAAATTGTCATCTGTCAATCACGAGATAAATGTGGAAAGTGAGTAAATATTTGGAACTTTTATAGAAATTTGATGTTTCCATAACACTCTTATTCTGTTTTACAAAATTATCAGTCCACAAATGATTGGGAATTGAAAACAAAGTTTATTCTTTCCCAGAAATAATTTTAGAGACAAGACTCACACTTTTCAAGACATGAGACAAGTCACAATATAATTTACTTTAAATAAAAAATTCTTCACTTTCACCTCTCTGATTAGAATAGCAGAATATTTATACTATAGCAAGATTTGGCAAATGAGGGAATCACCATTTTCTAATGCCTGTAACAGCATAAGATAATTTATACCAGATATGTTAAATGTACAGAAGCCTTCCAACACTCTTCAGTCTTTGTTAAACTTCAGTAAATTCATCCTAGAGAATAACTGTTAATGTAACAAATGTAGGAAAACCTTTATCCATGGCATATACCATACTATCATCACCATTTCACCTCCATGCTACCTGTAGGATGGTGAGCAAAATGCTTATCTCCTTTGGACATGATGTTAAAAATGCCAATGGTAACTAATACTACTATTATAGAGATTAGATGGACTTAGTATGCATTGTATCCTTGGAAGAGTATCTGGTATGTAGCCTATGTGCAATACATATCAAATATTGTTCATATTGTCTTCATTGTTAGTATTGCTACTGGTGAGTTCTTAGGAGAGGCACAACCATTTGGTGGAATGAATTCAGAAAAGCTTCCCATAACCACTCATCCGTTTGAATTTCAGATAGTTCATTCTAGATAAGATCTAGTAAGGATAAATAATTTGAGGGGATTTTTATTCAGAGTTTATTCCTTAAGCTGGGCTAAAAATTGACACTTGAAAAAATCCAGACTTTTGAAGAGCTTAGGAAAGCAAAACACCTTTTTTTATATTATATTTTTTATAGAATGTCACACATTTGTTTCTTTCCTCATGGTGAAATTTGATATGGGCCTTTCCTTCACATTTCTCATAACATGAAGTTGGAAATAGAGGCTTAAAAATATTTTCCGAGGACACTTCACACATGGTGGTGTGTACTTCATCCTGCAATACATCAGAAGCAGATGGTATCCATTTCCCCCACTATCACCAGTGCCAAGTTTGATGACTTAAGATGATAACTGGTGGAGCTCTCCATTATAAAGATCCATTACATATCTTGTAGGATTGGTCAGCCAATTGATCAATGATGTTTGGAAATGTGTGATCATATGATATGTATTATACTTTTTTTTTTTTGAGACAGGGTCTCTCTGTTGCCAAGGCTGGAGTGCAGTGGTGTGATTTGAGCTCACTGCAACCTCCACCCCTCAGGTTCAAGTGATTTTTGTGCCTCAGCCTCCCAAGTAGCTGAGTCCACAGGTATGCACCACCATACCTGGCTAGTTTTTGTATTTTTAGTAGAGATGGGGTTTTACCGTGTTATCCAGGCTGGTCTTGAACTCCTGGTCTTAAGCAATCTGCCTGCCGCAGCTTCCCAAAGTATTGGGATTACAGGTGTGAGCCACCACTCCTGGCTGTATTTTGCTATTTGGAAATCACAGTCCATCTTAAAATTGATGGCTTCTTGTATCCACTTTCAGCCAGGTGGCTGTCATGACTTAGTGCTAGCATCAAAGCAGGTTAGTTATGATGAAATAGTGTGTGTATATACTCACACAGTTGGAAATCGACCCTTTAAAAAATCATTTCTTTTTTAAAATAATGTCAGTTCCGCCAGAACTAATGCATTGACAACTAAGTGTCTGTCATTCATTGTCATAAGTCTGTACCTGACCTCTCTATTTTGTGCACATAGGGCATTTGTGTATCACTTTTCAGTCATTCACCATCTAGTGATCATCATTCCACATGATTGCACTTTTTCCTTTTCAGAGGCATAAAAATCAAGCCAACAATTGCACTTTTAATAAGTGTAACACAAAGCAGAGTCTTTTGGGAGTTTCAACAGGATATATTATTGGCAACTAGTTATTACGCCACTCCCTCTGGGTGCCACATTTGCCTTTTAACCAAGAAATGTAGACATGGTGCCTTATCCCAACATTCTAAAATGATATCTCAGGAATCACCAGTGCTTACTAGTACTTGAAAATGAAGCAGGATTTTATAGTTAAAGAAGCTTCTAAAGTAGCATCTACTAAATCCCCTCTTAGGGAACAAGTAAAAGCACCTCACCAGCTTATCAAAAGACTAAAGAGAAGAGAGAAGAAAACTACTAAAGAGTATTCTAGTGAAGAAAATGGTTGGACTTTGTTTAAACTGGTATATGGCAAACTTCACTGTGGAAATACTGATTCCCATGACCTATTATCTTTGCAGGTAGGTGAAATTGTATTGGGAAATACTGCTATAACCAAAAGAGAATTTCAGTCACCATGTCTGGTTGTTAGCTATGGTGGAATGGCAGCATCGTGTGCTCAGTGGTGAATAAAAACCTTTGTTGTGGCCAAGTAGGGGTGCCTCCTGAGTTTTATCAAATGCCATTTCACTATCTCTTTCTGCACTTGTATAGTATTTAATTTGTTAATGTGATAATTTATACTGATTTATAGAGTCACTGACTTTCTCTCATTCCTGGATATTCCCAGTTTAGTCATGGTGTCCTTCAGCTGTATTGCTTGATTTCATTTTGCTATTTTATTTAGGATTTTTGCATCTCATGAATTAGATGATATAAGTTTTCTTTTTTATTGTATTTTTGTTTGGGATTGCAATTACCTGTTCTTTAATATTGTATGATCCTATTAGGTTATTTTGTTTGATCCTCAATCACTTTTTTAGTTCCGTCTGTTGCTTTTTTTTTTTTTTTTTGTCTTTTAATTCCTACTTCAGACATAACAGATTTATTGAGTTTCAGCACAGTTCCTTTAAGGAACAATAGCCTAGTACAATAGCCATGTTGTACTAGCCAAGATCCACATAAAAGAAGCATTCTAACATGGCCCCTTATTGAACATTCTTTATTATGTGTTCTTGAGAATATTGTGTTGGAATTCAGAACTTTCATATAGGGCTATTATGGTCATACTTGTACATGTCTTTTGGAGTACACGTGTAAACATTTCTTTCTGTATATACTGGGAGTGGAATTGCTGGGGTGTGGTCATGGGATACACATCTGTTCAATTTTTTTTTTTTTTTTTTTTTTTTTTGAGACGGAGTTTCGCTCTTGTTACCCCGGCTGGAGTGCAATGGCGCGATCTCGGCTCACCACAACCTCCGCCTCCTGGGTTCAGGCAATTCTCCTGCTTCAGCCTCCTGAGTTGCTGGGATTACAGGCACGCGCCACCATGTCCAGCTAATTTTTTGTATTTTTAGTAGAGACGGGGTTTCACCATGTTGACCCAGGATGGTCTTGATCTCTTGACCTCGTGATCCACCCGCCTTGGCCTCCCAAACTGCCAGGATTACAGGCTTGAGCTACCACGCCTGGCTGTTCAATTTTTTTAGTAAGTTTAAATTCTTCTGAACAGTTTTCCAAACAAATGAACCAACTTACACTCTCACCAGCAGTATATGAATGTTCTACTTTATCCACATCTTTGATAATACTTGACATCATCAGTTTAAAGAATATTTTTATTACTCTGGTAGGTAATATAGTGGTATCTGATTGTTGAAAATTATAGTTTGAAAAGTATGGTTTAATTTTCCATTTTCTGATTGTTACCTATTTGTATATTCTTGGAATTTCTCTTTGCTCCTGGCATTGGATGCGTTTGATGTGCCTATTTTCAGAGAGCATCTGTTCAGTTTGTAGGACAACAATTAACACCTAGCCCATGACTCTCTCTCTCTCTCTCTCTCTCTCTCTCTGTGTGTGTGTGTTTGTGTGTATATGTGTTTATTCCCCACCAGAAAGTGAGCTGGTTTTGATGACTGTCATGGAATCAGCTTTATCTCTGCATCTCCAGTTCCCAGTATGAATTATGACCCTTAGTTGTTTGATTCAGTTAGGATACACTCAGTAGAAATTAAAATACCACACTGGCTAGAACAATGAGGAAGTATATTGATTCATATAAAGTGCTTTCAGAGGGACACTGGGCTCCAGATATTTTTGATTCATCAGCAAAGTTAAATCTTCAGAAGCTAAGTTTCTCTTCCATTTTCCACTCTGCACTTCCCAGTGTTGGCTGGCACCATGACAGCTGGCAGGTTTCCAGATATTACAAACAGACATGACAACATCCACAGAAAATAATAAGGGAGACCATCTCCTGTGACAGGAGCAAGAAAACATTTCCTATTAGCCAGCAGTGTACATCTGCTTTTAGTTGCTAAAATTGGTCATATGTAATTTCTGAAATAATCACTGGTATTACTTTAAATTATAGACTCTCAAAGGTTTCATTTAAATAAAATGAAACCTTTGGCCAGGTGTGGTGGCTCACACCTGTAATCCCAGCACTTTGGGAGGCCAAGGTGGGTGGATCATGAGATCAGGAGTTCAAGACCAGCCTGGCCAACATGGTGAAACCCCGTCTGTACTAAAAACAGACAAATTAGCCAGGCGTGGTGGTGAGTACCTGTAATCCCAGCTACTTGGGAGGCTGAGGCAGGAGAATCGCTTGAAACCAGAAGGCAGAGGTTTCAGTGAGCTGACATTTCACCACTACACTCCATCCTGGACAACAAGAGTGAAACTCCTGTCTCAAAAAAAAAAAATGAGACTCTTAAGTTTCATTAGCTTTTTATGTATGTATGTGACATAACAAGTGATCCTTTATTTTAATAAGTATAATTACAAATATGTATAAATTTCATAAGATAATTTTTATATAGTAAATAAACTTTATCTTTTTATCAGAGATGACACTGCCAATAGTCACAGATTTGCATACAATACAGTTATGTACTGGCTATTCACAATTTACAGTAGTGTTTTTTCCTCTGAAAAAATAAAAAATCCCGTAAATAAGAATAAAAAATCCTATAAATAAATAATGGGATTTATTATATGTCATAGCTTAAAGAACAGGTCTTTAGCAAATATTCAACAAATCAACCTGAATAAAATAGTCAATTAAATGCTCTAATTTATCAGAAAAAATCCACTAAGTTTCACCTCAAAATGTATTGCACAAGTCTTTTTTAAAAATCACCCTAAAAATAAATAGGAAAGGTAAGCAGTTCTTTAAAAAGAATGGAAGAAAGGAATATTAGGTAAGTCCATAAAAGCAGGTTAAGTCAATTCAAAATTTCTTTTAAACAACAAAAAACTGTTCCCAAGAGAAAACTGAAGAAAAATGAATCACCGTTTCTCCACTGATAAAATCTATTTTAAAGGCATCTGCAACATATCTGCGGGCCAAATTTCTCCTGGTCTTTTGGCTACATGAGGGGCCCGGAATGACAATCTTGCTGTCAGAGTAGCAAGTGTGGACAGGTTCCAAGCAGCAGCTGCCCAGCGGCGCTCTTCTTCAAGATGAAGATCAAAGCCATGACATTAGCTGAGCATCTTCTTTCCAAAATTTTCTGAGTCTGATCATCAGTGAACTTCAGTACAGTGGTTATAACTTTTGCCATGGTCTTAGTCTCAGGACCCATTATATACTCAAAAAGCACTTTTTGCAAATACTCAAACTTGGTAGGTTCTCCAAAGAGTGATACATCAATATAATACAAATTTCTACCTTTGTAAGGTGTCCCCACAGTTGTTGCATATACATTCTTTTCATATTTCTTCAAACGGTCTTCTAAATTGTGAATCTGTTCTCAGAACTCTTGCTCTTTCCATTTCGAATCACTGATTAAAGTTGTCTTCTGTGCTAGCTGTGTCTGTAGCTCCATAATTGTTTCATTATCATTACCAGGGTTCTCCTTCTGCTCTAGCTTTTGCTGATACTACTTCTGCAGCTCCTCAGGTTGAGTCTGCAGGTTCATTACTTTGGCAGTCATTTCTTCTTCACGAACATCAAGAATTTCTTCATACCTTTTGGCTGTTCATTTTATATCATCATCTTTCTCGGCAATTTTTTCAGTAACTGATTTGTCTCTTCTTGATGGCTTTCTAAAAGTTCAGCCTCCACGTCTTGGGTCTTACTGACAGTTTCTTTTATGGTCATTTCCAGCTCTTGTTCCTTTTGTGCCAGCTGAGTATTAAACTCTCTCATCAGCTGTTTTAATGTGGAATTGTGCTTCAGTTCAAGATCTTGCTGCTCCTGTTTGATTTTCTCTTCCTTTTCTTGTTCAAATTCTTTCTTTAGTATTTCCAGTTCTTGCTGATGCTCCTTCTTGGGATGGTTTGGGCAGTCCCTTTTGGGAACTCCCCTGCCACTGCTTTTGGGGTGACTCTAGCTGAGTGTTGAGCTGGACAAAGGTTGTTTCTGATATTTGACTACTATAAATAAATCTTCTATAAACATCCTTTACAAGTCTTTTTGTGGACATACGTTCTTGCTTTTCTTGAGTATATACCTAGGGGAGGACGTGGTTTACCTAGTTTATACTTTTACTGCAATGTATATGATGTCCAGTTGATCCTCAAACTTGCCAATACTTTGTGTTGTCAGACCTTTTAACTTTAGCCATTCTGGTGCATGTGTGGTGGTATCTCATTGTGACTTCTAGTTACAATTTCCTGATAATGATGGGAGCATCTTTTCATATGATATTATCGATTTTGATATACTCTTGGGTCATTCAACTCTTTCCCCCATTTTTAGTTTGATTTGTCATTTTCCTATTGATTTGTAGGAATTTATGAATATATTTTAAACAAAAGTCTTCTATGTATGTATACAGACAAAAAGGAGGGTGGGAGGAGAGAGAGAGAGGAGAAAGGGAGAGCTAAGAAAGAATGGCCTGTGGCTTCTTATTCACTTTCTTAATCATGTCTTATTATAAATAGATGTTCTTAATTTTAATGAAGACCCATCTACTTAGGTATGTCCACAATAAATGGGCTGGGTTCTGAAACTTTCATGAGGGCTTAAGAAATTTGGCTTAGGATCACAGCTAGCTTCTATGTGTTTAGCAACATGTTTTGATCTTTCCGTGTTTCAGGCCATAAACTATACAAATTCACCCGTGCCTGGGAATATTCAAGGCCCTACCTTGGGTTCAAAGCTGCAAGGGAAAACATGCAGCTGAACAGGTCACAGGGAGGTCAAGGCATTCTGTGAAACACAGAGAGAGGGAGAAACTTGGGGAACCTACAAACCTATCATCATGAGAACGAATAAACAAATTGTGATGTGGCGTATAAAGGAAGATTATATCACAATTGAAAAAAAGTCCTGTTGATTTCCAAAACAACATGGGTGAATTCCAAAAGTACCCGTTGGGATGAAAAAAGGGAGATATAAGAGATTTCATTTATATGAAGTTCAAGAACAGGCAAATCTTGTCTTGAGTGATGGGAGTCAGAATAGCACTTACTCCTTATTGGAGAACAGTGGGTTCTAACTGGGGCAAGACACAGAAAAATCCTCTAAGGCAGGGCATA